TCATATCCTTTCGCGATCAGCAAAATTTTTTAATCAAACAAATAAACAAAATATCTTCCTAACCTTTTCTTTTATCAGCCTACCAACTGTTTGTAAGTCACCAGTAGAACAAGCCTGAATCCATTGTACAGTAAGAATTGCATCAATTAATAATGGTTCCTCGTGAGAAGAAAAAATTCTTGAGGACTGAAAAGGTGTAATTGAAATAAGCTGAATATAAATTTTATTGATAAATTTTATTCCTTTAATTCTTAAGTTTTATTGGCTAAATAACGATGCATATGTTTGAACAACAACATCTAATTCAACTGATTAAAAGGATAATTAAATAGAATGATTAAAAAGCAATTAAATAGCATAATATAATGAAGTATGTCTATCCATTCCCGCATCGAGATACTTTCTTTTCCATTCCAATGAAATGCAGTAATACAGGTACAATTATTTTCATATTTAAGCAAAAAATTTTGGTAATTCAAAAATTTAACTGGATGAAAAGTTGCAAATTACGTGGATGAAAGAAATGAAAGACAAAAGTACGAAAGGGCAAAAGTTCAAGCAAAACAGCAACAATGCGCAAGTGGGCACAAATGCTTTTCATCTAACAGCTGCCACAATTAATTTAACAATTTAAGTAATGATTTTTTTGACACCACGATTTGCGGCAAATTGTATTAACATAAAGGAAGCAAAAATTGTGAAAGATCATTATCGCTACAATTCCTCACGTAATGCAGCACATGAAACAATGAACGTCGTACTAGAGCATATATAAAAGGTAATTTCAAATGAATATAAAAGTTTTTCTTTTTATTGTAAAATACTTTTCTAGCAGAAATTACCCAGAATTCTTGATAAAATATGAATAATAAGACGAATATTACTATATGATTCTATGCTTTAATACAAAATTTTTTTCAATATGAAATGACAGTAATTCAAAATTCTCCTAAATATATCGTTTCTGAAAATTATAATTATTTTGGAAAATTTGTAAAAATAGTGACAATAGCATTACTATAATAACTAGTAAATAGTATTATCAATAGAAGTGTTAAGAATGGTGCAAAAAGGAGTAAAATTAGTGAAGTAATTTGTGTTGACAGGTCAGAAATCTTTTCTTTTTTCCAATAAAATTTGTTGAGGATGTGATCGGCAATGACAGGATAGAGTAGTTTTTCGGCACTTTTACCCTCTTTTTACGGAACGTCGGCCGCCTTCTTCATCCCGAAAATCCGCATTAACTCTATTAACGCTAATTCGACGGTTCAGTGCACACACACATACATATATATAATATATGCATATAAAAGTCATTTACATTGTCAATGCAGCATGTTAAGTTTGATAGACAAAAGATAGGTATAACGATAATGATGAAGTATAACGATAATTTTTTCACTAATTCTGTTTGAATCTAGCTGTATTTATAATTTTTTAAATAATATTTAAATGATTTACATAATAATGAACACAATAAAATGAAATATGCAATCTTTTCTTTAAAATCTAAGAACGATTTATCAATGATTATGCAAATTTTCAAGAAAGAGCGGTATTAAGTAATAGCAATACCAAAGAAATTCCAACTAATTATGGATAATGCTGAGCAAAAAATTTAGTGATGAGATAATTGGTAATAATTTTTGATATATTTTTTATTGAAATTTTATTGAAATGATATACTTTTTATTGAAATCAGATTTAAACAAACTATTATTACTTAAATAAACAGTTAAAATTAAACCTGTTTGACTCAATGGAATAACGACGAAAATATTGATTCTACCTTGTGAGAAACTCTTACATTTATTTAAATTATGGATTCTCAGAAAATGAAAAGTAATTTCAAAAACTCTTTCTCTTTCTCCTCAAATTTCGCTTTCTCTCTTTCCCATTCTTTCTCCAAACTTTTCCCCTTTTTCTTTCAATTATCCAGGATAAATGCATCAATTTTAAAGCACAATCTTTTTCCCACTCTTTTTTTCTAAAAAAAAGGATACCGTTAAAAATAAATGCTCTCACTTTAAGCAAATGTCCACTAATCAAAAATGAGAACAAAATAACACCATTTCGCCTAATTTTATCATGACTGCCTTCCGGAACGAAATACTGCAAAGCATTTCCTAAAGTCTTTCCAAATCGTTCATCTTCCGTTTGTCATGTTTTACTACTAAAGTCAAAAATTTTACGTGAAATGAAAGAAATTATAAAATTTTGTGAATAATTTGAAAAAAAAAAATGGAATATATTTTTTAGAAAATTTACCAACTTATGTTATTTATAATTGTCGTTTACATGGTATTACAAGTGTAATTCGTTGAAATACTTATAAACACTCAATATTCATTTATTCATTAATAACAAAAATGTTTATTTACGTTTAAAAATTCGATCTTTTACTTTTCTAATTTTTTGAAATAGTTTTATTCAACTGAATCGATTTGTTTTACCACAACAACCACACACGAAGATATTTCACTCTGAAGCAATTTTCAAACCATTCCCATAAACCAATCAGCTTTTTTGATGGAGTGAGATAAAATAGCGGTAGGGCTATGTCGGGTGAGAAATTATGTCCTGTTGAATTGATGATAGGGTCGTGGCTTGTTCAACGATCTAAAATCTCTCTCCTTCAATCTCCACCAACATATCAGAATGTATCAAAAAGCTCCACCTTACTTTATCTATCAAATGAATGGAATGGAAGACAATTACAGAATGTACGAAAGATATTAAAATAAAAATTACACGTAAAAATTTCATTTTCAAAAAAAGCTACGAAAATGGATTTAATACTATTTCATTTAACTGAAAAGAAAACAATATCAATAATCAGAGCAGAAAAGAAAAAGAGAAAATTTGCTTCATTTACTCTTAAACTTTACTTTAGGTTTATAATCAATAAAGGCAAATTTCAAAATCCTAACAACTGTACCATGTACAAATTATCGTGTTAGCTATGTACTATAATGTCTCGCTTTTTATTTTAAAAAAAAAAAAATATTTTAATTTGGTAATTTAGAGACAAGGAAAGAGGGAGTGTGATTTGAAATATATGTCATGACGCATATCAAAATCATAAAATATGACTTGACATTTTGAAGCTATAACAAAATTTTCCATTATACGGTAGTCTACAAGGCACACTGATGAGTTGAATTATTTTGTATGATTAATTGTACTCTCAACTAAAAGTATAGAAATAATGAGAATTATTGATATACTCTCCGACAAACTGTATCAAGCCTAATTCAACTGTTAATTTACTATCCAAATTTAATATTCGAATAATTCGAACAAACTTATTTTTGATCACAAAATAAGTTACTATTGTATCTCTCTTCTTTAAATTTGAATTGATCATCTGATCTTAAAATATCAAACAGATAAAATGATAAGCATTTTCTCTGTTCACTTTTATAAAGTAACTACCATTTCTTTCTGATATTTCAATGCCATCATCATCGTCATATTAATAAATTCACTCCATTTACCGTATACTCTATCATCTGCTCCATATCGTAAGAGTTATTCTCAGTTTATATATTCATCGTTATTCATTCATCATACAAGTAAATTCCTCATTTCACTGATGATTTTTTAATACAATTACCTTTGACATTCATTGTATCAATCTGCTATTCAAACAATACCACCAACCGGTTTTCCGATTTCTCAACGGATCACTAAAAAGTATAATATGTTCAGTTGCCTCCTCTCCTCTTCCCGATTACTTCCATTCATTCATCCTTCTCTCTTTCAACTGTTAACCACCATGTGTCAAACATTCCTCACGCTACCAATCTTTTTAATGGTAGCAATTTACACACACACATACACACACACACACACACACACACA